GGGTTTTTTTGTTTTTTTTTCCTGGTACCGGGAATCGAACTCACGACCTTGTGCTTTCCAGGCAGGCACTGTGCCACTGAGCTAAATTCCCAACCCCTGAATTGCTCACTTTGAAGATGAAAGGGGACCAGGGGCCCAGAGATGTGGCAGCTTCCAGGAAGCTGGAAAAGGCAAGGATAAGAAGCATCCCTAGGGAAGGCATACAGCCTTCCCAATATTTTGACTCTAGCCCAATGAGCTCCACTTTAGATTTCCAGTTTCCAGTACTGTAAGAGGACTTTTTTATTTTTGGTGTTTTGAGACAGGGTTTTGCTGTGTAGTTCAGGCTGCTCTTGAACTCTTTATTCAGCCCAGGCTGGCGTCAGACTTGTGGCATTCCTCCTGCATGAACCTCCAGAGTGCGGGGATTATAGTTGTGCACCACCACCATGCCCAATTGAAAGTGAAAAATTTGTATTGTGTGCTTGTTTGACAAATTTGTATAGTGTGAAGTCACTAAAGGTATAGTTATTTGTTGCAGCTGCAATAGAAAAAAGTACAGATTGTCTGCTTTTTTACTAATTATTTTTTTTTAATCTTTTTGAGACAGGGTCTTGCTATGCAGTTCAGGCTGGCCTTGAGCTCACTTTAGCCCAGAGCTCATTTTAGCCCAGGCTGGTCTCGAACTTGCGAAGATCCTCCTGCCTCAGACTCCTGAGTGCTGGGATTACAGGGGGTCACCACCATGCCCGGGCTTGCTTTTTTATTAATTGATTTGGAGGTGTTCTTTTTACAGTCTGAATATATTTTCCTTAACTGGCCATATATCCTGCACATTTCTGTTCCCAGTTTGTACTTTACCCCACCTTTATATTCTCGAGCTTCCCTTCCATTTCAGCCTTCTTTCAGTGTGTCTGCAGTAGTACTCTTGGTTAATTTCCTTCTTTTCCAGACAATAAACATAATAAACATAGTCATCTTTCCACATCTGTGGGGGCTTGTCCCAGGACCCCAGAGATATCAAGAACCATGAGATTAAGTCCCTTGTATAAAATGGCATAGTATTTGCATAGAACCTAAATATATCTTCCCGTACACTTTTTATTTCCTCATACTGGGGGTTGAATCCAGGTCATTCACACCACGGAGCTACATCCCCAGCTTTTATTTTTTATTTTGAGACAAGGACTCACTAAATTGCCCAGACTCGCCTTGAATATGCAATCCTCCTGCCTCAGCTTCCCAGAGGTCCCATACACTTTATATTTTATTTTTCTATTTTTATTTTTTTTTCGAGGTTTTCTTGCTACATGTTTATTCAACAGAAAATAAAGTCCTCCGACCTCACTGAGGTGGCTGGCTGCATCTGTGACCAAACCCGCCTCTAAGCTGGAATTTGGTGGCTGACCTGGCCCCAGCCTCGGCCTTCTTGTCGGCACCAGAGGGCACGGCACTGCATCTGTAGGTGTCTCTGTCTCTGTCGGCCTCCCCTCATGTGAGCCTCATGGGTCCCTTGCCCTCCACACCTTTGGGCCAGGGTCTGCCAGTCTCTGGCTGGCTGTGGCACAGGGTGGCAGGCACAATCTCAGGAGGCAAGTGGAGATAGTCTTGGAGATACTGGATGCCCTCATTGGTGAGGTACCAGTAGAAGTGTCTCCAGGCAAACTGTTCCTTCATGTAGCCTCGGGACTTGAGAGACTGCATGGTTTTCATGACGTGAAGGTTGGGCACATTTTTGTCCGCCAGCTCCGGGTGCTTGGGTATGTGGATGTCTTTCTTGGTCACCATCACCCCCTCCTTAAAAAGGAGTTTGTAGATGGCGATCTGGCACTTCTTGGGCATCAACATCGTGGAGGCTGTGGGGTCTGAGGCCAAGACTGGAAAGGAAGGTTATTTTTTTTTTTTTTTTTTGGTATTGGGAATTGAACTCATGACCTTGTGCTTGCCAGGCAGATGCTTGAGCCACTGAGCTATATCCCTGGCCCTTGTCGGGGATACACTTTACATAATCTTTTTTTTTTTTTTGAGACAAGGTCTCGCTATGCAGTTCAGGCTGGCCTTGAGCTCACTTTGTAGCCCAGGCTGGCCTCGAACTCTCTCTTTTTTTTTTTTTTTTCTCGAACTCTCAATGATCCTCCTGCCTCAGCCTCCTGAGTGCTGGGATTACAGGCGTGCGTCACCATGCCTGGCCAATAATTTCTAGATTACTTACTTCGACTACAATGGAAACAGCATGTAAATTGTTATACTGTGTTTTTTAGTGGGTGGTGACAGGGGAAAAAGTCTGTGCATGTTCAGTACAGATGTAACTGCCCCCCCCCCCAGCTGAGGTCTCACTATGTAGCTCAGGCTGGCCTTGAACTCATGGCAATCCTGCCTCAGGCTCCCAAGTGCTGAGATCACAAACATTCACCACCACGCCCAGCTAAGGAAATCTTTTTTATACATGTAATTGACACTTCTTTCAAGACTCACATCTTGCTGGATGCATGTCTGTAATCCCAGCTACTTGGGAGGCTGAGGCAAGAGGACTTCCAGTTCTAGACCATCCCTGACAATTTAATAAGAACCTGTCTAAAAAAAAAAGGCCCACATCTTGTTGGCCACCATTCTAGTCTAGCCTACCCCAAACCCTGCCAGTTTAGTTTCTTCCTAGCCCTGTCTTGCTGGCCTGATTCCCAGAAAGATCTGCTTAGAAGAACTGGGCACCGTGCTCTGTACTGCTGAATCTTGGGGGTACAAACAGGAAGTTTGGGGGGGTGCTGTTTCCTGTGCACAGATCAGAGTCCTAGCAGGAAAGAGAACAAGCTCCAACTAGAAGAAATGAAGAAAATGGAATCAGAGAATGCCTGCCGAAGGAACGGGCAGGGTGCAGGGAAACCACAAGATTAGCATAGCTTCCAAGACTCATACTGTGGGCTGTCACCCCTAGATGTGAAGCAGGGAGGGAATCTCTGTCTGCTGAAGGGTGAGCGTTCCCCAAGAACCTGGAAATAAGGGTGATTGGTGAGTGCAAGGAGACAAAGGCACCTGGAACAGAGGTGGGGGTAAAAATATAATTTTTTTCTATAACTGTGTAGCTGAAATATTTGGGGTTTCTTTTTTTTTTTGGTACCAGGAATCAAACTTATGACCTCGCACTTGCTGGGCAGGCGCTGTGCCGCTGAGCTAAATCCCCAGCCCTCTGAGATATCTGGAACAGGACTAAAGACAGCAGGGTAGTGGCTGGAGACCCTGGGGTAGGGCTGGACCAGGCCCTTGCTGGGTTTGCAGAAATTCCATCGTCTGTATGCAGTGAGCCCGGACAGAGAGAGTACTTACACCCATGCCGGCACTGCACTACTAAGGAAGTAGCTGCTATTGTTGACCCAGTTTGCAGGACCAAGGACAGGAAGGCGCAAGGAAGCCCACACTGCCTTGACCTATGGACTAAATAATTATGCTTTTCAGTTATGAAAGCTGGCGCCTGGGCTCCCACAGTTTGTACATAAGCCTGTTACTCAGCCCTGCATTACACCCATGAAATCGGGTTTTGGAGCCTGGCAACTCCGTCCCTTAAGAGAGCTAAAGGTGGGAATAGGTGGGCCCCTGCCTTGAGCAGCACTACTTGTGCCAGTTAGTGACAAGCAGGCAGAATAAGAATGAGCAGAAGAAGTTCTAGCTGGGGCGGGGCGTGTTGGCAAGACTCCAGGCCAGGTCCAGGAAAGTCCTGCTTAGGTACCTCCTCCTCCAGAAAGCCATCCTTGATCCCTGCTCCACCCAGGCTGGCATAGGTGCCATCTCATGCACTTTGCATGGCACTGGCCACACGGGCACATCTGAGGGTTCTGGAAGGTAAGGACACATCTCACTGCTCTTTCTTTTTTTGTATCGGGGACTGGACCCAGGGGCTCCCCACATGTGGCAAGTACTTTGCTGTTTGTCTACGTCTGCAGCCCATCTTAGTGTTTTTTTTTTTTTTTTTTTTTTTTTTTTTTTTTTTTTTTTTTTTTTAATTTGAACAAGGTCTCACTGCAATTCAGGCTGGCTGGAACTTGCAGAGATCCTCATGCATCAGCTTCCCAAGTGCCGGGATTACAGGCTTATTCCTGCACACCTGACTTTGTTTTACTCGTTTTTTTTTTTGCGGGGGGGGGGTACCTGAAATCAAACTAAGGTCCTCGTGCTTGCCAGGCAGGCGCTTGTGCGTTTTACTCGTCTTTGTAGCCCAGGGCCTACTAGCTACTCAGTGTTCTCGGGTGGATCACTGACTGCAGGAACCAGGACTGCCCGTTGTGCCCGGTGCAGTGTTCAGCATAATGGCCGGCAGGGTCAGTGCTGGGTCAAAGCACACTGGCTTGTTCCGAAGAAGCTGGTGTCCTAGGTCATCTGTCTCTCTTGCTGCTGCTGGTCAGGATAGAAGCACCAGTCCCCGGAAGGTCTGTTCCCTGCCGCAGGCTCTCCTTCTTGAAGGTACCTGCTCCGGGGCGGGATGTTCCTGGTCCTATATGGCTGGGGAACCGGGACCCATAGGGGATTGAGTCGGGGTCTGTTGGGGTCGCATAGGCCCCTACAGCCCTCAGGAGCGCGGTCTGGGAGCTGGGGGTGGGAATGTAAGTGGGGAGGAGGAGTAGGTGTTCCCCGCCCCCAAGGCCTTCCTTGCCTCATCTCCCCAGCGCGCCAGCCGCGCACGCCCCCTAAACTCTAAGAGTTCCCCGCACTAGCGCTGCGGGACTGGCCAGAGCGCCAGAGCCTGGGGGGAGTGGGAGGGGCCTCCCCCGACTGCTGACCCCTGTAACCCCTGTGTCTGCGGACCAGGCGCGCTGGGCTCCAGCTGGAGCGCAGGAGCGCAAGATCCCAGTCCAGCCCGGCCGGGGCGGAGCCGCATGCGCCCGGCCCGGGACCGCGGAAGTGCGAGCGCTGCTCCCTCCGCCCCCTCTCCCCACCGCTCACCTCCGCCCGCGTCTCTCTGGGACGCCACCTCCCAGAGTCGCCTTTCCTTTCCTTTTTTTTTTTTTTTTGTTTTGGAGTTGGCTGCCGGCTGGAGGTGCTGCGCGGCGGGGGAGGAGGTAGGGCATACGGACGGACAGAGGGACAGACGGTCGAACCCCTGCGGGCCGGGCGCGCACCGGGGACCGAGTCGAGCGCCCTGGGACGGCGTCCGCCGGAGCCACCGCTCCACGGGGTCCCGGGACGCAGTCGGGGTCAGCTGCGGGCTCGGGATGCTGAGGAGTTAGGCAAACAGCAGAGGCCGCGGATCGAGTGTGCCGGGGTCACCCTCTGCTCCCCGGGTGGCCACGGGCCGGGCCTTGGGGGACCCACGGAGCCACCGCTGGCCGGGGTCGTGGACTTGGCGGCCTGTTGTGCAAACCTCGGCCCTTGTTTTCCCGGCCCAGCTCTTTGGGAGGCCGGACACATCCACCCTTGGAATTGATTCAGGAGAGTACTGCTTTTCTCCTTGCTCCTCTTGGATTTTCTGGATTTTTGAAAACCCAGTGGCCCAAGAGGAGGAGGAGAAGGAGGAGGAAGGGCCGATCTGAGGAATGCGAGAGCCTCCCCCAGCCGGAGCCGCCAGCAGCAGCGGGGAGCCAGCGGGAAGAAGGGCCCTGCCTGTGTTTCTGGGACGGCGGTTTGTTCTGAGGGAGCCTCTTCAGCCTTAGAACATTGTTCCAGTGGAAAGTGTTGAATTCTTGCTGTCGCAGAGCTGGTTTCTCCGGGTCACTTGACTTTCCCACTGGGAGTGGGGGGAGGGAGAGACTCCCCCTCCCCAAGGGCTGCAGAGGAGGGAAGGAAGACCATGGACCGAGCCCTGCCTGCCCTGCCCACAGGCAATGCTGAGACCCGATGGGTCAGTTCCTGGGCCACCGACACTGTTCTGAAGAAGGGGAAGCTGGACAGAGTCTTTGGGTGCTGAGACACGGCCCCAGGGGCCCTGAGACAGCACTGAGCAACAGGCTTTGAGCTGCCGGTGCGTTTTGGTCTCCTTGGTCTAGGGCAGGACCCTCTCCTCCCCATCTCTGTCCACCAGCAGCACCACCATGGCACTGAAAGGCCGAGCCCTCTACGACTTTCGCAGTGAGACCGAGGGGGAAATCAGCATCCAGCAGGACGAGGACCTGGTAGTCTTCAGTGAGACCTCCCTGGACGGCTGGCTGCAGGGGCAGAACAGCCGTGGGGAGATGGGGCTCTTCCCTGCCTCCTATGTGGAGATCATCCGTCCCGGCATTGGTACCAACCATGCTGACTACTCTGGCTGTCCTGCAGCCTCTCTGGGCAACCAGGTGAGTGCCTACGACAGCGCTAGCCCGGCCAGGAGCAGTGGTGGCAGTGGCTTCCTCTCGAACCCGGGCAGCTTCGAGGATGATGATGACGACGACTGGGATGACTGGGATGATGGGTGTACGGTGGTAGAAGAGCCTCGGGCTGCTGGGCTAGGTACCAATGGGCACCCCCCACTCAACCTTTCCTACCCGGGTGCCTACCCCAGCCAGCACATGGCTTTCCGGCCCAAGCCGCCGCTGGAACGGCAAGACAGCCTGGCATCTGCCAAGCGGGGCAGCATGGTGGGGCGCAACCTCAACCGCTTCTCCTGCTTCGTGCGCTCTGGCGTGGAGGCCTTCATCCTTGGAGATGTGCCTATGATGGCCAAGATCGCTGAGACCTACTCCATTGAAATGGGGCCCCGTGGCCCCCAGTGGAAGGCAGACCCCCACCCCTTTGCCTGCTCTGTGGAGGACCCCACCAAACAGACCAAGTTCAAAGGCATCAAAAGCTACATCTCCTATAAACTCACTCCCACCCACTCGGGCTCACCTGTTTACCGGCGCTACAAACACTTTGACTGGCTCTACAACCGCCTGCTACACAAGTTCACGGTTATCTCAGTCCCCCACCTGCCTGAGAAACAGGCCACCGGCCGCTTCGAGGAGGACTTCATTGAGAAGCGCAAGCGGCGACTCATTCTCTGGATGGACCACATGACCAGCCACCCCGTGCTCTCGCAGTACGAGGGCTTCCAGCATTTCCTCAGCTGCCTGGACGACAAGCAGTGGAAGATGGGTAAGCGCCGTGCAGAGAAGGATGAGATGGTGGGCGCCAGCTTCCTGCTTACCTTGCAGATCCCCACGGAGCACCAGGACCTGCAGGATGTAGAGGACCGTGTGGACACCTTCAAGGCCTTCAGCAAGAAGATGGATGACAGCGTCCTGCAGCTCACCACCGTGGCATCAGAGCTCGTTCGTAAGCATGCGGGTGGCTTCCGCAAGGACTTCCAGAAGCTGGGCAGCGCCTTCCAGGCCATCAGCCAGGCCTTCCAGATGGATCCCCCTTTCAGCTCCGAGGCTCTCAACAGCGCCATCTCACACACCGGTCGGACCTATGAGGCCGTGGGTGAGATGTTTGCGGAGCAGCCCAAGAACGACCTCTTCCACATGCTGGACATGCTGTCCCTCTACCAGGGCCTGCTGTCCAACTTCCCTGACATCATTCACCTGCAGAAAGGTAGGTCCGGTGCAGCCAGGGGACTTCCCACGCTTGGTGCCCAGCCAGACCCTGGGGTTGGGGGTGACCTCGGAATGGGGCAGCTCACTGAGTCTGTCTTTAACTGTTAAACACTCATCAAACGTTTGGGTATATACTCCATGGCAGCTCTGTCCTCATGGAACTCCATGTTTGCCTGTTGGTCAGCTCACTCATTTTCCATCTCGTTTACACCATCACGAATGGAATCGAGCTGGGTCCTGGGAACACAGAGATGACCAGGCCCCAGGCCCAGATAACGGGAGCACAATGTGCAGCCTGTCTTCCCACTCCACAGGCTTCGGGCCGCCCTGGCTGCCCCAAGTCCTCCTCCACCCTACTCCTGAGCTCCTGTCTGTGCAGGAGGATCCCCGTCCTCATTTGTAGATTACAGAACTGCAAGGAGGTTGCGCAGGGTGCTGTGGCCCAGCTGGGACTGTCCCTTCCTCCTGCCACCTCCCAAGGCCCAAGGCTACCTTGGCCGCCTCCCAGGCCCAGCCATGTTTTCGGTTCCCAGGGCCCCGTCTGTGGGGGAGGGACAGGATGGGCCCCTGCCTGTTACTGCTGGGCTGTGCAGAAGCTACCAGGGAAATGACTCACCCAGGTCACAAGGGGGCATGGGCAGGCTGGGGAGCGGAACCGGGGGTCCAAGGCACTGGCTATGTGCCCCAGCGATCCCCCTTCCCAAGGCTGGCTTCTCTTTTTGCCTGGGGTGTGAATCAGGGAGTGACTCTGCAGGTGGCAGATCCAGGGGACTGTGGCAGGCGGATGTCAGGAGAGGTGTGGTCCTCCCTGGGGCTGCTGGTAACTCTGGAAGAATGGGGCCGGACCCTGAGCCCTGAGGTCAGGCCTGGCTGGTGGGAGCTTGACTCTGGGTGGGGCGAGGCAGGCTGCGGCTGAGCCGGGGACAGCAGCCTCTCCTCACCCCTGGGTGCCAGTGGAGTCTGGGGAAGGTGGTGGCTCTCCTTACTAGCAGAGTGATTATCAAAACGTCTCCCCTCACCTCTCTTTCTCCTCCACGTCCCCTTTCAGCTCCAGGAGACACAAGGCCTGAGTTCTAGTCAGACTGTTCCCCAGTTCACCTGTGCCCTGGGACGTGCCTCCCTTGCCCTCCACCTCAGTTTCCTATTTATGGAACAAGAAAGGGAGACCCATGAGCTATCACGCCTTGGAAGGAGGGAGCGGGAGGGGACCCCAGTGACCCAGCAGCAGAACGGTGCCATGTATTTGCACTGGGCGCCATGGGGCAAGTGCCTTCCTGGGCGGAGGTGAGCCTCACCCGCACCAGGCCTGGGAAAGCTGGTTTGACCAGCTCCTCCATGGCGTGTTTCTGTGTGGGCAGCAGGAGGCTGGGTCTGATGATGAAACAACTACTGCCCTGCAGCTGCTGGGGCACGGCTGGGTCAGAGCAGGGGCAGTATGGTGACCCATGCCCGGGGCACCCAGGGCCCTGGGCGCACAGCGAAGCCACGAGGCAGAGAGACAGAGCTGAGGGAGGCTGTGTCTGTGTCCCTCTGAGGTGTTTCTGGGAGTCGAGGCTACTGTCCCCTGGGGTGACATGCAGCCTGAGGCAGAGGCTGGGCTTCACACCCTCACCTGAAACCCCCTCAGCCAGGTTCCCATGGGCTTCTTTAGGTTCTGGAATCTGGCCTGGGATCCAGGGTGAATGGGGAGGAGGGCTCGGAATTGTTTGAGGCAGACCTGGGTAGGCTTTGGAGACCGCAGCCAGAGAGGTCCTATAGATAGAGGTGTTAGGTCCTAAGTCTGCGCAGCCTGACCTCTGCTGTCCTTGGAGGCTTTTATAAATGGAGAACCATGCTGCCACGAGCCCCTGCTAGCTGAATACATGTTATGACATGGAGGGAAGAGGCCTGGCACCCAGCTCCTGGCATCCTGAGCCCTGGATCCCTGGCAGGTGCAGTCCTCAGCTACTCCAGGTGGGCATTGTTACAAGTGGAAGTTGAGCTCTATACACTGTGAGGAGTGGTCAGGAGCGTCACATGCAGGACAGTCTGTCCCATGTCACGGGGGGAGAACTGTATCCCAGGAGGATCAAGGGTTGCTGCAGGTGGCACAGTGGGGACCAGGGCTTAGCCCTCCTGTCCCCAATCTGGGGTGGGAGGTGACTGTCTTCTGCGCACAGAAGGAGATGGTTTGAGGCTGCAGCTCAGGAACCTGTCAGGGACCAGGCATTCTGTGGCTGGTGGCTCAAGCTCTTCTTCACCTATTGCTGGGAACTGGCTGCTAGGCAGCTCGTGACCCAGGGATTCTTGGTGACTTCCATGGAATACAGGAGGGATGCTAAGAGGCTGCCCTGCTGGGTGGGAAACCTTAACCTCAGCTGGTCCTGGCCCCAGAACTGAGTCACAGGGTGGGGAAGTGACAGAGTGGAGTGGGGCCTCTGCCTGTCCCCACCCCTGCGACCTTTGCCCCCATCCCTGGCAGCTGTCTGCCCTGAATACCATGAATACTGAGCCAGCACCACAGTAGTAGGTTCCTTCTTGCTCCAGGGGCAAAGACAGGAAAAAGCCTTTTGAGTACAGCTCCACCCTCCGTGCATCCAGCCTTGCACAGGCAGGTGGGATCCAGGGCCCTCTGTGTCTTCTTTTTGGGTTGCTTCTTCTGGCAGAAGCTTAATTATAGTTGGTTTGTCCTGCTGTTGTTTTCCAGGCTTTCTTCCCTCCCTCCCCTCTCTTTCTTTTTTTTTTTTTTTTTTTTTTT